TATTCATGCGAAATTTTCATCCAATTGAATATATTCTCCTTGAAATAGTCGATATCTCAAGAAAAATACATTCGTTTGCGCTGAAATTTTTAGCATATTCTAATGGCTATAAGACCTGACTATGAGCTAGATTACAAATAAAAATTTCGTAATTCAATTTCCCATGAATAGTTAATCCAGAAGTCGAAAACCCACTAAAACGATCATAGTTACGGTTATCTTAGATATTTTTGAGTTGCTGATTATATGATTCGAATTCAATAGTTATTACATGGAAAAATTTGTTAATCCTGCAAATAATCTCTTTTATGTATACATATATAATATTTCATATTTTAAATTTTGTTGTCTTTTTTAAGGACCATCAACAACAAACATATGTAACAAAACATGATTTAAATTTATTACATAAAAAAATCATTGCTACAGAGTAAGTTTTAATTTAGAAAATATTTTCATAAAATTTTAAAAATAAAATTTTTAGTTTAATTGTACAAAAATATCAAGATGCTAATAAAGCTCTATTAAGATTACAAAATGAAAATGAAGATCTTAAACAACAAATTGAACAAATTACAAAGTAAAATTTTTTTTTTTTGTATATTAATTTCAAACATTCTTCTTCTTTTTGTTTTGTTTCTAGTGAATGTTGTATTTTTGGTAAACAAGTTACAGAATGTACACAAGAATTTGATAATTTAAAAGAAGTAAATTTATTTTTATACACATAAAAAATTTTATTTCATTTTTTTTTTTTTAGCAACTTGAAATATCAAATAGTGAAAAACGTGAATTACATCAACAATTACGTTTATTACAAGATGAAAATACGAATAATTATCATGAAATTATGGTTTTAGTAAGTACTATAAAAGAAAGAAAAAAAAAAAAAGTAAATTATTTTTCTTTTAAGAAACAATATGAATCATTAAAAGATACAAATGATCAATTGAGTAAAACTGTTGATCGACAACAAAAACAGATAGCAAAATTACAACTTCAAGTACAAAGAAAATCACCTATTATTTATAAGTAATAAAATTTTTTTGAAAATAGACGGAAATTTATTTATCTATTTTTCATTTAGGGCGAATAAAGATAAAAAAGAACCATCAGAAACAGGTAGAAAAAATAAAGATATTTCTTCTTTAAAATAAATTAGTATTATTTTATATTTAGATATTGCTTTGACTAACTCACAAAAATCAGTTCGTGAACTTAAATTAGCACTTGCACGTCTTATGAATTTTATACAAACATCTCGTAGGATTTTGTTTTTTTTTTAATAAATTTGAAATTTAATATTTATCTTTTTTCTTGTTTAATTTTAGAAATTGAAATTCCAACAGCTCTTCATATTCGACCTGTTCTTAAAGCTCATGATATAAATGATGGTAAAATTATTATTTGATTTGAAAATTTTTCTAGTTATTATTTTTATATTTAGATTTCTTAGAAATAGAAGGTGAATTTATTCGTAAACCAGTGAAGAAAGTATCGGTAAGTTATTTTTTTAAAATAAATTTCATTATAAGTTGTTTCTTTTTTATCTTTATTATAGAAACCGGTTATTAGTCAAACTGATGATGACGATGATGATAACGGTGATTTTATTGATATTAGACATACTATTGAACCTCAACCTGTAAATATAACTAATTCATCAATAGATATTATTGAAAAACCATCAAAAACTTCTTCACGTCAAGAACAGAAAAAAAAAGAAATACAAAAAAGAAAATCTACAAAAAAAAATCGTCGACAAAAAGATTTATCTACAACAGAAAAACCATCAACAAAATTAGATGATCTTGCTAATGAACTTGAAATTGCTTTATCACAATCTGATCAACAACAACAACAACAAAATATCCCTCAATT